TGATCCCAAGCATACACTTCTCCAATTACCATTATCTATCTTTTCAGATTTCCTGCAGTGTCCTCACTTCAACCCCAGCCGCACAGTCGATCCACTGACTCTGGCACTCTTTTGGAGAACATAAATCCCTTACAGTCTTCCCCTTTTCCTTGCCAAGTTGAGAGTCCACAATCCTGCTCTATTCATTTGGAAAAGCCCCAAAGCTAGTTAAATCCACCTCTTCAATGGCGCTTCTTCTGCACACAAGCACCTGAACGTGGAGCGAGAAAAACAAACAAATGATGACTGGTCTCTGTTTAAATTTATGACCACAAATCTCAAGTGGGCTCTTATTGCTGCCCAGGACTTTTACAGCATTTTCCTACTTAATTCACTTTCTCACTCTCCTAGAAGAATATTTCCTATCTCTGTCTCCAGATCCTCAGTTTCAGCTAATGACCTCATTTGTTATTTAACGTAGAAAATAGGATAATTCAGAAGAGAACTATCTCGTATTCCCCAAAACCAAGTCTTTCAACCAATTTGCGTCTATAGATCCATACTTCCCTTCTTTCATATTAAAATGAATGAACTGGTAAAGAACAGCTAAGGCAATTTTGAAGAACAACTATAAGGACTCACATTTCAAACAGTAATATTTATTATGAAGCTATAGGAGTTAAGAGAATGTAGTATTGGCACAAGAACAGACAAAGAGACTAATGGAACAGAACAGAGTCCAGAAACAGACCCAAACATGTACATTTATCTGATTTATGAAAAATGTGGCATTGCAGTGAAGTGGAGAAAGTATGGGCTTTTTAATAAACAGTGTGGGTCAAATGGAAATATACATGGAAAAAAATTTTGAACTCTGACACACCATACTAGAAATTAATTCCAGATGAATTGTAGATCTAAATATAAAAATAAAACAATAAAACTTTTAGGGAAAAAAAGACCATTGATAAGATTTAGTCGAAGATATTTTGAATAGGACATAAAAAGAAAAAGATTATAAACAAGACTATAATAAGATTAGAACTGTCTGTTCATCAAAAAACACTATTAAGAGAGTGAAAAAGCAAGCCACAGAGTGAGAGAAGACATTTGCAATGCAAATATTTGACCAAGGAATAGAATATATAAATAACTACCACAAATCAATACGGAAAGGCAATCCCCTAACGGGAAAATAGGCAAAAGACTTGAATAGATACTTCTTAAAAGGGGATACCCAAACAGTCCACAAAATATGAAAAGAGGCTCAATTTTATGTCCCTAGGGAGATGCAAATTTGAACCATAATGGTATACCAGTGCCTAACAACCAGAATTCCTAAAATGAGAAAGACAATGCCAAATGTTGGCAAAGATGTGATGCAAAGAACCCTCCATACATCGTTAAGAATGCGTACTGCTGAGGGCGGAAACTGTTAGAACCGCCTGGGGAGACTGCCGGGCAGCATCTACCAAAACGGAACACACGCAGCTATAACCCAGCGATCTCACTTTCTGATAGATATCCCAGAGAAATGTATACACATGTTCACCAAAAAAACATACCCAAGTATTTTTACAGCAGCACTATTCGTAATCACCCAACACTGGACACAACCCAATGTCCATCAGCAGTAGAATGGCTGAAAAGATTGTAGTGTATTTATGCAAAAGAACACTATTCAGTAAAGAGAATAAATGAATTGTATCTACAGGCGACAACATGGATAAATTTTACAAACATAATATTCAGAGAAAGAAGCCAGACATGAAAAAGTACCTTCTCTATAATTCCATTTATATAAAGTTCAGAAACAGGCAAAAATTAATCTAAGGTGTTGGAAGTTTGGAGAGTGATTACCCTAGGTGAGAGGTAGGGGCTGTTTTAAAACAAAATGAATTTATGAAATATCCTATAACAAATGCACATGATTTGAGTTACCTTTGCATTTGTTAAAAATGATCATCATGGCATTCCAAGTGGAAAAAATAAAAAACAAAATAGTAAAAACACAAAATTATTGCCAAAGGTATAAATTCCGTTCAGATTGCCAATCTTTCCTTCACTAAAGTCTACATAAAACGCATGTGTAAATTTTGCAAAACTTATAATTCTTTCTGAAGCCTTCACTGTATCCTCTTTAAAGAGATGGTGTCATTTTTCCATGTCTTTACTGCAAAATTGTAAAAAAAAAAAAAGGTGAGAAAATGACTTTGAAATAAATCATGAAATAAATCAAACGCAGGCTGTCACTTTCTCTCGCCCTTTCTACCACCAGGCCAACTTTGACACCTACGGTACCGTTTCTCAAAGTCCAGCGCACAGAACTCCCGAATCACTACCTCTCTTGGAATCTGTGGTCACATCTGTATAAAACGGGGTGACAATAGCAACTATGTCATAGAGTTGTCGTCAAGATTTAATGACATAAAAACGCATTATCCTGGAACATAGTAACTGCTCCATAGATGCTAGCGTGTAGTGTAATACTCTCAATTTATATTAATAGTGTCAACGTTAGAATAACCTGACATGCTTGGTAAATCACTATTGATTTCTGGGCTCAAACCCAGACCTACTGAAGGGGAACGCTGGTTGGGCCTGGAAATCTGCATTAACCAGTATTTTTGGGTGATTCTTTTTGCACTCTCAAATTTGATAACCACTGTCCAGAGATTAGGGCTTACTTCTTACTTGTTTCTCGTTGCACACAATGAATGTTTGTTGATGGGCTGACTGATGTTCAATATTGCCAGATGGGTATGATGTAAATTATTAAAGAAATCCGGAATTTGTTATACATTTGTGCAGTACGGGGAATAGATTTTTATATTTTGACTCCAGCAAAATATAAAGGGAAGGTTGTTTTGTTAATACTATCAAAAGTAGCTTCAGTCTCAATTATTTAAACTCTTTTTTTTATAAATGTGCAGACATTTGAATCCTCTCATATTTCACATAACCTCTTTTTCCCCTTAAAATAATTCCATTTAGGTTTTTACTGCTTCTTTTTAATTTTTTTTAACTTGAGGATCCAGAAAGCATAGACATGTGCTCATGGAGAGGACAAATGACCACATTCTCTGGGCTCTGCATTATTACCATTAGACCCACAACTAGGCTTCCATAACCACTTTCTTTCTTATATCTGTGTTCATTTAAAGGAAAGTTCTAGCAATTTGTCTGAAAGGAGAACTGCAAGTGAAAATGGCTTCAACTGTTTAATTCAAATAGAAATTAAATCAAATCACAGTAGCTATTTGAACTTTTTGTCCATAAAACAGTTACACAACTTGTTGCATTGAGTAGAAAGTTGCAATAGGAGAATAAATCCCCTGAGATGTTTGATTCCTTGAAAGCACAGGAGAATCAACTTTTGACAACAGAGAAAAATTAGGAAGTATTCGTTTCTGTTTCATGTCATTAAGTAGACATAAAGATTAAAAGATAAAACCCAGATATTTTATCAGTTTTGTTAACGTTTAGGAACTAAATGGTCTTGTTTGGCGAAAAGCCTTAAACATATGCTTTATTGTGAAAGATAAATTCGTATAATTCAGTTACACATTTTTTCAACTACTGTTGGCTATCTGAGTAAATCTGTCTTCTATAAATTAGTGGAAGAGGTTCAGAGCCTTCATGACATTTATTTCATAAGACAAATATAAGAGAGGTTGGGATTAGACATGAAGAACTTGACTTCCAGGCCACCAGATGGACTTGATATTTTCCAGCCAACAATCTGTTCCTTTATAAATATCAAATGCCCTTGACTTTCTGATGCCACAATTAACCTTTAAAATGACTCTGAACTACAACAAGACTCTTTTCTCCCTTTCTATCAAGAAAGGAAAGGATGGGCTTTTTTTTTTTTCTTTTCTGGCAGTGATGCTAAATTCTAACAGTTTGCTAAGCAGTGGAAATCATGCTGTAAGCAAAAGTGTCTGCAAGACAGAGATTCTGACAAAATAGTCTTTATTTTTCCAATGGATACTGGCTACTGTTATAGGATCCACTTCCAAGGACAACTTCACCGAAGCGAGGGTTCCCTAACACCGAGATCACAAGACACACTGACACCGTTAAGGCTTCTCTTCTACCTCTGTCCAGGGGTAGCCTGACCCCCGGATCTACTAGTGTATCTCGTTTCACAGGCTGAATTCAGACACCCAAATCAGTTACAGTAACCTATGTCCCGATAGGATAGAGGAAAAATATGAAAATGAGCCAACACTTTAAGTAGAAGATTTAGCTGTTTGTCAAAGCGACAATAATATTAAAAACACTATAGCATCCAAATAGTCTGATTTCTCTTAGAGTTACTCAGAAAATTCTCAGACATATGAGGAGAAGCAGAAAACTTCAAACGAAGTTTGACTCCTATTGAGCATTTACCATTGAATTTCCTTGTATTTGAAGGACTGCCTTGGCAATTACATATGGCCTTGGTTAGCGATCCAGTAAAAGAAAATAACCTATCAGAGACTCCGGGTCAGGTGTACCCTGGTCAGATTCTACATGGCCTTATAGCTGTCTCCTTGACCTCTCTTCTCTGCCATGACCTAGGGCTTTGATTATTTACTTCTAGATTTAAGAACAAACCAAGAGTTGCAAAAAATTTTTGGCCTTTCTTTTTGGTGATAGTGACTGTGAATTCGATTGTGACACCTAAAACAAAATGTGAGCATGCTCCAGAGCCAAAATCGATTTGGAAAAGGAGACCACTTCCGGACATCTTTGGTTGGTAGATGAGTTTACAAGCACTGATTTCATTTAAAAACTCAGAAGGGACTTCACAGCAGGCTCTGAGAGGAAGCAAAGCCGCTCTAGACTAGTGAGGAGACTTTCCAGATCATTAATAGGGCATCCATTTTAACACCCACCATAACTCAATACCACATTTCATTCATTCATTCATTCATTCCCCGTATTTTCGGCTACTCCCTTAAATTAGGAGCTGGATCTTAATTAAGTGCTTAAGATCTCTCCAAGGAATAAATATATGAAGCAGTAACACTTACTTTCCAGTAATAAACTGACTCCTGGACGGTGTGCAAATAGGCTGGACATAGTAGTTCTCCAGTTTAACTCCTTCAGCAGCAAGTTTGTCAAGAGTGGGAGTCTTTATCTCCGATCCGTGGTAACCCACATCTCTAAATCCCTGATCATCGGCTAGGATGAAAATGAGATGGGGCTGGGAGGTGGAGGCTGTGCTGGGCTCCGGCCTTTCTCCAGCTTGAGCTCGGAAGGCCGCTTCCTCCTCGTCCTCCAAGCCCTGGCCCCAGGACAGGTAACCATAGGTGAGGAGGCTGAGGACCCAGAAGCCTGCCAGCGCCCCCATGGCTAGCATCTTTCCCGGCCAGACCCAGGCCTGCAGAGGCGGCGGAGGCGGATGCCCCGCGCATTCCCTGGGGGCCATTCACTCGGGTCCCAGCTGACACTCGACACGCAGAACCACGCACCCCGCGCCGCCGCCGGCGCACACATGCACGCGGGAGGGGTGGACCGAGCAGGCGGCGGAGGGTCTCCACCCGGAAAGAAGCCCTGCGCTCCTCTCAGGATCAGCACGTCCCACAACTTGAATCTTCTAGAAGTGATGGCTTAAGGGATGGGCCGTCGGGAAAGCAAGGAGTCGCTCTTCTCCATCAGATTTCACTTTCTCCTCCTCCTCCTCGCTCCCCAGAGCAGCTTCCACAAAAAAAGTTAATACCTCCACCCAAAAGTTCTTGGGAGAAAAAATTCAACTAAGGAATGGAGAATCCCCTTGGGCGGGGGATTTTCCAGGGCGCTCTCAACGTTGGGGAGCGGGGCTCCCCCGAGGGCGCGCGCACGGATGGCGGTGGGTCATCAGCCCGTCCAGCGGTCCCCTCACCTGGAAAACACTGGGAAGTTGAGCCGCCGCGCCTCGCTCTTACCCGGGCAGATGAGGCGCTGCCCGGAGCGGACCGGCTGCCCGATCACCGTCTGCACTTTCACAGGGCTCTCTCTTTCTCCCGGTCCTCTCCAAGGCGTTTGTCAATCTTCCCGACACTCACCAGGCGGCGAAGTGAGAGAGAAGGCCGTTTCCTGACCTCCCTCCGGCGCTACCTCCCCTCCTTTGCAGGAACTGCGGGCAGCGATTTCTTCTCCGGGCCGCTGGAGCGCGTGGGGACCGCAGCGGGGTCCCTGCCCCCGTGGCCGCTCCACACCGAGCCCGCTTGGTCTCCGCAGAGTTGGTGCACCCGGCGGAGGCGCTGCAAGCTGCGTGCGTTTTGTCAGCTAACTTACTTAGTTTTGGCACTCGGAGTTCTTTGCTGCCTCCTCCCTCTTTTCTCTCCAGTGAATCACAGAACTGTACTTTCTGCGTTAGCTCCCCCAGGAAGGGGGGGGGGGGTCGGTTTAGAGGTTCGACCTTTCCTTTTTTCCTTTCCGGGAGGAGGATGGAGGAGGGAGGGGTGGCTTTGCGGGAGAGCGAGCGAGCTGCGGGGGATCCGGGGGATCCGCCAGGGCTACCGCCTCCCTGGGTCGCGCCGGCTGCCCTCCATCATCCGGAGAGAGGGAAACCCAAGGCGGCGCGAATGGGGAAGGGTGAGGTGGGCGCTTCTCTTCCTGGGTCTGTGAATGAAGAGCTCGCTCTCCCGTCCCGAATGTTGCGCTTGCAAACTTTTCCTGGCTTTGGAGGGAGTGAGAGGGGAAGAACAGGAGAAGCAGCAGCCTGCGTAGCACACTCTTCCTTTCTTCCTCTTCTGGTTTTCCTTTACTAGTCCCTTTTCCCCCTGCCTCTCCCCCATTTTTCCTACTCCTTCTATCCCCGCCTCTTTTTTTTTTTTTTTAAACAGTCGCGACCACAAGTTTTTAAGTTGAATTTCCTTTCCCTATTGCTGGCCTTTCCGGCCTGACTTCCTTATTAGCTTCTCCCTACGAGAAGAGATTGAGATTGCTCCCTCCTATTACCTCTCCCTAAACTTACCCACAGGGTGTCTCCAGCCAAGAAGGTGGGGAAGAAGAGGGGAGACAGTTCACCCTCCAGAACCGCGAGGCCAGTCTGCGCTCCTGCAGTAAGGAAGCCACCGTTTCCCATCCAGTAATTCCGGGAATTCCAGGAACTTCATCACGTTTTTTTTTTTTTTTAACTATGTGGAGTAAAACCATTGTAAAAGCTTGTCCTGATCTTGAAGATATGCCTGCTTTTACCAGAATCATAGGCTTTTAAAGCCCTGCCCAAAGGCAGGAAAGGCATTTATAACATCGATAGAGGAGTAATCAATGCCAAGAGCCATTGAGATATTTTTTCTCCCCCCAAAATTCATTCAACAGTTATTTATTTATTATTTATATATCTTTAAAGTTTATTTTTTTATTGAGGTAACATTGATTTGTAGTATTATATAAATTTCAGGTGTACGTCATTATGTTTCAATTTCTGTGTAGACTACATCATGTTCACCACCCGAAGACTAATTACCATCTGTGACCATACATGTGCCCTATTTCTCCTGTCGCCCCCCCCCGCCTTCCCCCTCTGGTAGCCACCAATCTAATCTTTACATCCATGTGAACAGTTACGTATTGAACACCTACTATGGGCTGGGGCATAAAATGTCAGATTCTCCCCATTGCCTAAGCATAAACCTAGGCTTCATTTAGTCATTTATTTTAATTCCTTCCTGTTGTTAGAGCTCCTGTTGAGTTTCTAGGCAAAACATTTGTAAAATGGAAACTTAGCTGCTTTGAAACTTGCAATGTGCTCCATGTGGTTAATTTCACTAGCAAGTGTAGCCTCCTACTAGTTTATTCTCTTCCCCGAGGCCATTCTGGTTAGTCGGTAGGGAGAGGGTCGGTTTTAGAAGACCTGTTTGGAAATGTGCTCTTGGTGATTCTGTGAGTTAAATCATCAAATACGTAACGGGTGACCTCAGTATTGGGAGATTGAAAAGCACTGTGAAGTAAGGCTCCGGGCTTCGTAGGCCTAACCAGGGGCTTGACTGGAAAAGATGCAAACAAACCTTCAGATGGGTCCAGGGACTTTAGTTGGGGATAGCCAATGACATAGCACAAGAAGTGTCCATCTTGCTGTGCAAGAACGATGGCCATTTTCAGTTGAGATTTCAAGTAAGAATAAAAAATAATAATCATTCAACATTTACGGAATATTTACCATGTGTTAACCATTATACTCCATAAAGTGATACATACACACACGTATACACGTGCACACATATATGCTATATAGTATCTCTATAGTGCTTTATATACTTTATCTCCCTTCCTTCTCCAGCACCGTATGAGGCGTTTGTCCCTTCAACAAATATTTGAGGAGCTGGGCCAGTGCTGGATGCTGATGGGAACGTGATGGTGAGCTGAACCAGTGCAGCCTCTGCTCTGGTGGAACTTACACTGTCGCGGGGGAGAAATGTTCCGAGCAGCTGAGTACCCCAAAACTCCAGCAGTCACCTACTATTCTGTAGTATTCTGAATAAGTATTCAGACAAGTGTTCTGAAAAAAAGAACAAAATTCAAAGAAATCTTAAAGAATCCTGACTAGACTGGGTGTCGTTAGGGGGTGAGATGGTACAGGAAAGGGACCTTTAAAATGAGGGAGATGTTATTTTATTTGTTATCCCCCTTTTGCAGAAAATTTAGACTTAGAAATCCCTCTGACTTTAAAACTCATGTTTTTCAAAAGATATTCTTCCCACGAGTGGGTTTTAAGATCTTTTCCGGCCCCATAGCACACAGAACAGAGCTGCCAGAGTTAGAGAATTCTGAACCCCACATGAGGCATGAAGACTCTCCACACTCAGGAGAGAAGGGCAGAACTCCAGCCCGTAAGAAGCCATTTCTGGAGTAAACAGGACTAACACTAAGGAAGACTAAGAACTATTGACAGTTAGTCAGGAGAGCCAAGAAACAAGAATGGTCATGCCATGCTAGACCAAATGAGCTGTGACTCAGAGGGGAAAATCCACCAGCTGAGGGCCCTACCCACAGTGGGAATTAGGTAATAAGAGTTATTCCCACATGTGTAAGGAAGATCTTGAGAGTGAAATCAGAGGCTGCTGAATGCCATGCTTTGTTGTACATTTACTGGTATTATAAGTACATAAACTCATTTCCCATAGGATTGGGTTTCATACACTCTACACAACAGTTTTCGTATTCTCATGAAATCCCAAGTTAAAGATCTTCTATAAATTAGTAGTTCTTTCCTGACTTGCTCAAGACAGCATTTTGGAGTTTAGGCATCAGCTTTCCTTAAGGAATCACATTTTAGGTTTATTTTGGCTTGCATGTGATCACGTTACAAACACACTCCTCTAGATATAGAATGATTATGTAAACATTAAAGGTACTATTTGATTCAGCTTAAAAAACAAGACAAGTAGAATTACTTAGAGATGAAATTAATGTGGACTGATTACTCAGGTGAGGCTTAATCAGGAGGTGGGAATGAAGCTATTCCTTAAAGGATGAAGAAAGTTTGGAAAGGAAAGAAGAAGGTAAAGGAAGGGCATTTCAGGTAGAAGAAAAGAGAAGACCAGCTGACTGAGACATGTTTGGACTGGAAAAGTATGGGAAACCATGTTAACAAGTTCAAGTGACACCAGATATTAAAAGGCTTCGAAAAGAGATGAAGGGTATCAGTTTGATTGTGGGGGCATTAGCAGCCATGAGGTCCTTCAAGCAGGACATCACATGATAAAATACTTCAGTAAATCTTACTAAGGTCATTCCCGGGATGGATTTACAGAGATAGAGGCTCAAAATGAGTTGCTTCAGTTCATCAAAGTTTGAAGAGTTGTAATTTTACCCTGAGAGCAATGAGTCTATCGAAGTTTTTTGGTTAGAGCAGGACATGATGAAAAATAAAGGAAAAGATATCCCAGGACATTTTCAGGGAGAGGTTTGAGGGAGTAAAGACTAGAATCACACCACTGCCACAATGCGTAAAATTTCTACCGCACCTATATTCCTTAAAGAACGACGCTATGAGTATGTCATGTGATGGGAAAGAGGCATTTGTTAAAAGTTAGGAAAGAAGTAATTAATCAACTAAAAGGAAAATAAGTGATAAAGGAATCAGAGACCCAAGATAGGACCTTCTTTGACTGGATAGTAGAAAAAGAAAGGAAGGAGTAGGGTAATTGACAGGATGGTCACCACCGGAGAAGGGACATCAGAATAAGGTGCCATAGTGTGGCCTGAGGCTCTTCAGGGGGTAGACCAAGGGTGGTGGACAGTCAGGGGTGGAGGGTGGGCTGAGAGAGTGCATATGAGGAGCCTATCAGTAAACAGAGAAGCTAAGAAAATCACAGGCGAGCAGTAGAATGGCTAGGTGCACAGTGTTTCTTTGAAACATCCATATTAATCTTCACCACAAAGATATTCCTGCCCTCCCCAGGAGGCGTGGACAGAATTGCCCCAGCTTACAACTGCATAAACCTAAACACACTTTCTTGCCTAGTAAGACAGCATGCCTGCCACACCGTCCTCCTTTCTTCTGTAGGTATTTGTTTTCAACTAAACTTGTACTGAGATGTTTAAAAGATACAGCTAACTTTTAGATGTAGATTTAAAAAAGTTGTGAAAACAGTCAACAGGGATTTACAGACTATTAAAAAGATTGAAAACTCAAGTGCTGCTTGTTTGGGTTTATAAGTGCATTAAGTACTTAAAGATGAAGGAATGTCACCAAGTTTAAATTCATGCACAAGTAGTCTAAAACATGCATTTGTCCTAATAGAGTCATGTTGATGTGGATCCCATTTAATAAACTCCTTATTAAACATTATTAACTCCTTTTTTTTGGGGGGGGGGGAAGACTAGCCCTGAGCTAACTGCTGCCAATCCTCCTCTTTTCGCTGAGGAAGACTGGCCCTGAGCTAACATCCGTGCCCATCTTCCTCTACTTTATATGTGGGATGCCTACCACAGAATGGCGTGCCAAGAGGTGCTGTGTCGGCACCCGGGATCCGAACTGGCGAACCCTGGAATGTGCTCACTTAACCGATGTGCCACCGGGCTGGCCCCCATTATTAACTCTTTATTAGACTCTGGGACAGAGGGTGCTTTGGGCCGTTCATAAGAAAGAAGAGCTCTCTGAATCAGACAAAGTAGGATGCTGAAGGAGCTGGTTTAGTAATTGCTAAGTAAAGATCACTTCCCTTTTTGGGGAAGTCTCTGTTAAAACAAGCTGTAATATTTATAAAGAAAAGGTGAGTAACGTGAGACACCCTAAATTTCAACCGTGTATAAATGTACCCACCCAAAAGTAACAATTCTTTTGACATTAGAAACTCAGAAAACCTGAACTGTCAAAGAAGAGATCTTTCTTTCATTCAACAACAAATATCTTTATGTGAAAGTAGATTTTTAAACAAAATTTTTACAATGGGGAAATCTGGTAATTTCCACAGTTTTGAAATCTGTTCTTATTGCTTAAATTGTAAGTAAAATTCTACTTTCTGTTTAAGATATCAATTCCTAAACCTGGCTGCTCATTGATTACTTTAGGAATCTTCTTATAAAAAAAGGAAATTCCCAGCTGCACCCAAGACCCAAATCAAAATATCCAGAGAGAAAAGCTCTCCAGGTGATTCTGGTGTGAATACAGTTTTGAAAACCACTGATTTAGGATCTAAAGCATCAAAAAGTTTCAATGGGATTGCTTAATGGATGCAGTTGGTACCATCTATCAAATATAATATGGGAAACACAGCTGAAAAATAGGTGGCTAAGTCTAGAGTCAGAACAACTGAGGGCTGAGCAGCCAGTTTCTGTAAGATGGCAGGAAGAATTAAAGTTGGGATATGGCCAAGCCACTAGGATTGAGAAAAGAAGGCAGAGGTATTAAAGCAGAAGTGGGTGAATGCTGGGGGCAACAGTCTGTGCAGGCATTGCTGGACACAGGTACCCTCAAAGGAAACACCAGGAGGAAAAGCTAAGTTCTGAATTCAGCTTCTC